CGGGTACGACGTCGTTTGTTATGTAATTGGTGTTTGCATCAGCCTAGGATCTTCGAAAGTGCGAATTTTCGGTGCTCTTTAATTTTCGGTGCGGGTACGAGTACGACGTCGGGAAATGTATTGAATATTGGGTGGTTAATTTGGCAATTTGTTTCTATTGTTCATCCATGAAGAATGTGAAAAATCTTGAAACTTTTGGGAATTGGAGTGTTTTGGGCAAGATCATGATCTCACTGTTGAGTGAAAAGACTTGATGGGTTCATCTTAATTTCTATGTATACTTGTGGTTGAAATGTTTATGTTTACCCGGACTCTTCTATTTAGGAAGAATACCAGTGTCATGTTGTGTCGACACTGGTTTGGGTATGAGTGTCGGGTGTGGCATTTTAGCCTAAAATGTTCAAGATTTCTAAACTATTGACGAGTCGGACGCTCATGCTGTTTAGGGTTTATTTGTTCATTCTATGTTTAATTTTATCTTTTCATTTTAAAGATGGGATTTTTATGTGACATTTCATTGCCTTTGGAAAAAAAACAACGGTCAAGGCTTCAAGCCTCATCAATGCAACTTAATATACTGATATTTGCTTGTTAATCGAATGGCAGGGCTTTCACTCAAATCCCAGGAGTTAACGGCTATCTTTTTGGCCGTGAGGTTGTATTGCAGTTTTGTCATGGAATACGACATCCACACTGTACTGGACATGGCTACTCTTGCTACAACATTGTGGGTTATTTATATGATTCGTTTCAAGCTAAGGTCAAGTTATATGGAGGATAAAGACAATATCACATTGTATTATGTGGTGAGTACTTCTATTAGGATCTGAACTACTAGTTTCTTTCTTATTCTTTTATGCTCGTCTCCCGATTTTTCGCATTCAAAGTTTTGAAGAAGTGTCTGTGCAGGTGATCCCTTGTGCTGTTATAGCATTACTAATTCACCCATCTACATCACATAACATCATCAACAGGATCGCCTGGGCTTTCTGTGTTTACCTCGAAGCTGTATCTGTGCTGCCTCAACTTCGGGTCATGCAAAACACAAAGGTGGGAATCTCAATTTGGAAATGATTATCCAATCGTTTGTTAATTCACATTTTTGATCGAAGTTTGGATAACTCAATTGCGAGTCGTGATGAGATGTTTAAGTTTATTTTCCTTTTCTCTTTCGTGGTGGCAGATTGTCGAACCTTTTACGGCACATTACGTATTTGCACTGGGTGTTGCCAGGTTCTTCAGCTGTGCTCACTGGGTTCTCCAGGTGTTGGATGCATTTTATTATCTTGTTTAGAGAACATTAAATTCATCACCGTATTACAGAAGAAACCAAAGTATTGGCGAAATCACCCATTACCTTAAAACTGGCACTCTTTTGCAATTTGTATTAATCTTAACAAATACTCTCCATTGAGTTCTAACGATTGAAGCAGCACCAAATACCAAGGGATTGCCGTAATTTTGAATTATACCTTTCCCTTTTTTTTTTATTTTTTTTTTTATTTGTTTTATAATTACATAGAGCACAGAGTAAAAAGAAAAAGAAAAAAAATCTTTCTTGTTTCAGGTTTTGGACACACACGGACATCTCCTTGTGGCATTGGGCTATGGGCTCTGGCCGTCAATGGTTCTCTTATCCGAAATTGTTCAGACATTTATCCTAGCCGACTTCTGCTACTACTACGTAAAAAGGTTTAGGAAATTTTCTTGTTTGTCGATCGATCGAACTTTTTGTGGTTTTTTATGCATATCCAATCCCATGCAACTCAATTAAAACAAGTAAGAAATGGAAGTATTAGATTCAATCCAAGCTCATATAGCAAACGATTTCGAAAAAAATAAATTGCTCTTTTCGTTTTAAGTTTGGAGTGATACTTTAGATGCCATATCTTGGCAATTTTTCTCCTAAACTTCGAATTTTGATGTGCAGTGTTTTTGTGGGGCAGCTCGTTCTGCGTCTTCCTTCTGGAGTGGTGTAACTATATATTGGTGGTTTACATAAAATCCTTTTCTTCTATTTTTTTTTTTTAGCCAGTGATTCCACTGTTTTGGTTGTAAACTTGGCAGCTTACATGCGAACTCACATTAGTCTTGATTTATCAAAAACCGTAATTGGCTTAACTGTGTGTTTACCAATTTGGTTTTTGGATTTGATCATTTTATGTGTGAGCATTTGGACTCGAGATTAATGAACACACTGCTTGTTTCATTTCATGGTTTGGATTCAATGTGTTTTTTTGGTTCCTTTAGTTTATATCATTTGTGTTTCAATGGCCTATGGTAGTTCATATCTTCATATGAGTGCGACAATTTTTTTGTTGAGCCAGACGGTTGGATTCACAATGGAGCCAACCTCTTATACACGTCAAGTAAAAAATAATATGATATTCGGAAGCATGATTTAATTGTGGAATTTTGAAGAATCATTTAAAAAGAATATCTTTACAAGAAAAATAACAATTTACTCATCTCATCTTTCCGATCCTAAATTTTATTTATAATTACAAAATAAAACTTGATTTATTATAATATAATAATCTTAATGAAATTCATCATTAATTCATTCATATTCGCGTGTAAGCACAATTACAATTCCTTATTTGGTTACTTTTAGATAGTATGAACTATAACTATCTTATCTTTTATCTTACACTTAACTATATATTTAGAATTATATTTTCTCATAATTTTCTTTTCTCTTAAACATTTGTTTTGAATTTTTTTGTTAAAATAACATATCTGGTTGCAAGTATTAGTAACAACGAAATTTTGTAAAGTATTTTTTGTTAACTTCACAATAATAATTTGGGAATGTTTTGGGAACATAAAATGAATTAATTGATACCATTATTTTGAAACTTTACAATAATAATTTGAGAAAGTTTTGGAGAACATGGAAGGAATAAATTGATGTCGTTATCTTGAATATGAATTGTATAAATATAAAATGTCTTGCAAGACAACTAAACAAATATATCATATTATAATTCGCCTCCACACATATACTGCAATTAATTTTAAGAATCATATAACTAAATTAAAACCTAATCACAATTGAAGAATTAAACCAATATCTCAAATTATAATTCATTAAATTTATGAAACCAATTTGGTTCTTGGATTAGATCATTCCATGTGTGAGCAATTTCATTGAAGAATTAAACCAATATCTCAAATTATAATTCATTAAATTTATGAAACCAATTTGGTTCTTGGATTAGATCATTCCATGTGTGAGCAATTTCATGGTCTTGATTCAATGCGTTTTGTGTTTTAACCACATGTGGAAGTTTTTGGTTCTTGGATTAGATCATTCCATGTTTTAACCACATGTGGAAGTTTTTGGTTCTTGGATTAGATCAATCATGTGCGATCATGTGCGAGCAACTCAAATTAATGAATGCTTGTTTCAAATTAATGATGATTCAGTGCGTTTTGTGTTTTAACCACATATGGAAGTTTTTGGTTCTTGGATTAGATCATTCCATGTGCGAGCAACTCAAATTAATGAAGGCTTGTTTCAAATTAATGAACATGATGCTTGTTTCGTTTCATGGTCTTGATTCAGTGCGTTTTGTGTTTTGTTTTAACAACATATGGAAGTTCATATCTTCATATGAGCCAAGAGTTGAATTTGCAGTGGAGCCAACTTCCTAAAACATGATTTAGTTGTGGAGAAGAATCATTTAAAAAGAATATCTTTACAAGAACATTTTTACACATCTAATCTTTACAATCCTAAATTTTCTTTTATAATTATAAACTAAAACTCGATTTATTATTATATAATATCTTAGTGAAATTCATTATTCATCCATTCATATTCATGTGTAAGCACAATTCCATATTTCTTTATTAGCATGAACTATAAACATCTTAACTTTATCTTACACTTAATTATATATGTTTAGAATTATATTTTTCTCATAATTTTCTTCTCTTAATCATTTGTCTTGAAATCAGTGTTTTAAACACTAGATGTCACTGACTAATAACATCAATAACATGTCATTGGTTCGGTCAGTTTTGCTATGAAGCCAACAATTGGCTCTATAGTAGAACCAACCTTCTATATACAACAAGTAAACCATATCATATTCTCTTATTAATTGAATAATACCACAAACTACCAGATTTATGGTAATACCAAATTGTATCGGATTGCCTGTAAATAGCGAACAAAATATGGACAAAAGAACTGAACATACCTATGACACTATAATCACCAAGTATAAAATGTGAGTAAATCAAATTAAAAATGAGCTATGCCTGAAGATGCACTATAATCACCAAGTATATAATGTCACGTAAATCAAATTGAAAATGAAGATAATAAACAATGTCTCGGGCCATAAAATTATCAATTGCTCGTAAGACTTGTACTTTTCAACGAGTTAAACTTTAATGTACACAATTTTCTTTTGAAATAAGAGAGCTAGTTTCTGTCAGCTTGAAGAAAAATGTTTTTACAGATAAGTAAACAAGTATAATTGAAAATTCTTCTATTATTGATCAACAATCAAGCCCTTTTACTCTTGAGACTCAGACTAGTTGTAGAGTTCTAATACTTAGAACCTATTAGTTGCTGAATGAGTTCATATTCAATTAAGTACCTCAGGTTATGTACACACGCATGCACGTGCGCACGCAGTCTTGTGTGAGTTCATCCAGGCACCCGTTATTTGAATTCGAGCATATCCCTGTTCCAAAAAACTTACACTATTATTGGGTAGTCAACACGAATCTCAATGAGATGTTATTACTCCTTAATAAACCATTTTCAAACGTAAGTTTTCCTCCAAAATTTGTCTCAATTTACAGTAACAATCTAGATTAAGCAGATAGAATTCAGAATGGTGAGTTTGTAGTTAAAAGGACTGCATGAACCGACTCGATAAGACTCGCCAGAAACACACACACACACACACACACACACACACACTCACACCATTAAGACAGAAGTGAAGGAAGCAAAAATGCTGACCTTTCATATTTCCATCTCAATAAAGTCCCAAAATTTTCCACCATGCAGCTCCGACTAACGCCCATATCACGGTTTGTATTAGACCCATTGCTATACCCAATACAAACACATCACAAAGGTCTACATAACCGGCTGCACACCAACAATAATTTTTAGTTAATATGAATACAACACCATAATTTGCAAGTCGCAATATGTAATGCAGCAAAATCCAATTTGTATGTAAGCTCCTTCATGGTTATTTAAATCACAATGGTAGACCCAGAAAGTGGTAGATCCAGAAATTTCATTCAGGAGCCAAATAACAAAGTTATTTACCAAAAAATGTATGAGGTTTTACATATTTGTAGTTTAACTTCAACATCTAAAATTTGTAAGGAGTTTTTTGGTTGCGAAAAAAAAAAAAGACACTAAATCAAAAAGATTGAAAATACAAAAATTCGTAACTAAAAAAAAAAAGAAAGAAAAGAAACCATACCTCCATAATAAACAGCAGCTTGACCACTACTATAATGAGTCAATGCGCCAAAAAGGTTTGTGTTGTAAGCCAAAGCCAATGCAGCCAACAGACCCGGAACTCTCGACGCAAGGTGCATACCAAGAAAGGCAGAGTACAGAGCACCCACATGAGCTGTTTGACTGGCAAACAAATAGTGGATGAAGAAATAAGAAGTCTGGAGGATGCCGAATGCACCAAACCTGCCAACCGAGATTGATTTAAGAAAGCCAGCCACAGACTTGGACATCCATGGCACGACCCCAAGAGTAGTGAGTTGGGTAGCCATGCCGATTAGGACCGCGAACCAAGCCAAGGTGTCCCATGCTTGTTTCTCACTCAAGCAGTCATCCCAATTGAGTACTCCACACAGCAAGAGTACAGATAGGCCTATCATGGCAGCTACAACGCTTGGCATGTTGAGAGCTTGTCTACATACAAATTGGAGTACTTATGTTTATAATAAATACAGATTCAACAGGCACGGAATAGAATAAGATCATTACTAGTAAAACCTCTTTTTGGGCCATGAGTCTTCGTATGTGTTTATTGCAACGTATAAAAGCCACCAAGATAGTTTTTATGAGGAACTGCTGAGCATTTTTTTTTCCTTTTTCTTGTTTTATTTCTTTCTTTCACCATAGAACTCAAGTAAATGAGCAGTAAAACGGAAGAAGATCATTTGCATGAACAGAAGTGTCACATCGATTTGTCTATAAGTCAGGTTTGTTCGCTAAAATAACATGTTAAAGGATTGTAAATTCCATAATTCCATATAACTCTACCACTAAAGCTTTTGCCTTTTCTTTCACTTGATTCATTTAACTTTTGTTGATGGTTGACCTATTCATCTGGTAATGATCATTATACCATCCAAAATCACAAATTTATCCCAATTATCGCATGTCAATTCACCCAATGAACTTAAAGATTCTCCAGTGTATTTTCAGTTTCACCATTAAAAGAGAAAAAAGTCTTATAAACTGGACCCTCGACTCAATTATCAACATACTATCCATAACATGCCTTGTTAGAGAGGCTGTCTTGTCTATGCGGCTAAGATTTCAAAATTATTTCATCAGACCCGTGTATAAGTATGGCTGTCTGTCACCCTTCTATAGCAAAGAAAAGGAAGTCATTATCTTGAGAGTATCTAAATGAATTTTTCTAATTACTGAAAGTCAATGAGGCTTGCTTTCCAGTTTCCACACCTCCCCAGCCTCACCTATATCTCTATAGGATTTCAATGACTAGTCTCAGCAAACATGACGAGAAGAACTCAGTCGCGAATTTCTACTTACCCAGCAATCCATAATGCAATAGTCAGAAGCAAGGTTCCTATCATGATCCACTCATCCCTCTTCATTGGACCCATCTGCTCCAATCTTCTTTTCGCCAATGCAGGAGCATCAGGGGTGACTTTCATCTCAGGGGGATATATCTTATATACAATTATTGGAGTTACTGAAAGAGCAATAAGAGCCGGCACACAAGACGCCTTGAGCCAAGTGACCCATTGGTTCGGAACGTCAACCCCAAGACTTTGAGCTAATTTGATGCACAACAAGTTTTGAGCTGCCGCCGTCAGAGTAAGAGCACTTGTGCAGTTGTTGCACTGGTAATTAACAAGCAAAGATTATCAGTTACTTGGGAAATATTTATGACTGCAATGTGGTGTAAAAAGGTCCAAAGGTTGGTCGCTTTTACTATCAACATTAGATTTATAGGCATCTATACAGAGACCCACATGACACATGCGGAAGGAATCAATCAAACCTAATTACCTGATTTTGGGATTGAATTAAGAAAGCTCCAAGCTTCCTAGACGACGGGTCCTTGGGCTTACTGTCGACGCCCAGAGCCAAAGACTTAATAATTGGCAGAAAAATTCCACCGGCCCTGGCCGTGGAGCTCGGCATTCCCGGAGAAATCGCGAGTTCACCGAGAACCAGGCCGTACGACAACCCCAGCGTGCTCTTCCCGAGCCACCTGACGAAGAACATGGCGACCCTGTCCCCGAGCCCCGTCTTCACGAACCCCTTGGAGAGAAAGAAGGAGGCGACAATCAGCCAAATGACCTCGTTGGTGAAGGCGGAGAAGGCTGCGGCGAAGGTTAGTGTCCTGGTGACGACGGTGAGCGTGAGGCAGACGAACGCCCAGGCGCCGACGGGGAGGGGGCTGAGGATGAGTCCAGCGACGGTGGCGATGAAGATGGCGAGGAGGGACCAGGCCTTGGGCTCGACGGCTGAGGGCCTGGGGACGGCGAATCGGAGGAGGAGGCCGACGGCGGCGCAGGCGAGGAGGGGGAGGGGCCTGACGCCGTTCCAGCGGAAGGAGGTCGAGGGGGCGGTGTGGGTAGGGAGGTCGAGGCGGCGGGGCGAGGCGGCGGGGGCGGCCATTGCCGGTGGTGAGTGAGATTGAGTTTTATTGAGAGGAGGAGAAGAGTAGTGCATGGTTGAATTTGTTGGGATAATGCCAACTTTAACGGGAGTGGGGGTGTCGAGATTCCCTATCAATTTGAACTTTTTGGGGGCGCATTCAACTCCATGTCCTTGGCTGGCAATACTGCTTTATGATCAATTGACGTGGCAGTGGCACTCAAATATTTGCTACGGCAGAAGTCCGCCAAAGTATACATACTAAAAATCATTAAAAAAATAAAATACATAGAAGTTTAATTTTAAAATTTTAATGATGTGGAGTTGAATGAACACGTCATTATTTTCTTAACATATAACACTGTGTGCTTGGATTGTAAAGATGAGTAGCAAAAATGTCTTTAAATCTTCATATTACGCCTCTACATCGAACAATAACAAGTTGAACAGTAGGACAATAAACAACAAAAAGTAGCTAGTAGCAATTTGAATTTTTCCTATAAAATTGTATAAGAGTCATACATTTCTTCCAACTCTCTGAAGCAAAGGTGATATGCAATCACGATGGGAATGACTCTTTAAAAAAGTCTTTAATTGATGAACAAATTTTTACGTTTTTATTAACATTTTATAAGTTGAGTTCCACCGGGCAGGAACATTCAGTTAAATTTTTTTAGGTACAACACTATATGTTTTATAATGTTTTCTCCATTCTTTCTTATATATTGAGGGTGACGGTACAAGTATGCAGTGACATGCCTAATGATGAGCGTGACAGACTCTTTCAAAGCAGTATAACGCGATTGAACACAAAAACTAAGAAAATGGCACATACATCGAATATGAAAAAATATCTACCATACATAAAGAGGATGATAAATTTCTTTAAGCTCCGCCGAAGAAGCAGATTAATACTAGTATGATCAAAGAAATGATTATTTTTGTCAATTTCTATAAGTATTCAAGAAACATGCAATTAAATGAGCGATATTAGCAGTAGTGTAAGAGTTATTAAATTCTGGGTAAGCAATTAAATATTTTTATAATGAATAACTATCATCTACCCAATCACAAGTAGTTCCAATATCATCGGGCCAAATGTCACAACAAATAAAAACAATTTGGTTTAAATTTTCAAAAGTTGGCGCCAAAATAAATTTATTTCTACCCACTATATTTCAAATATCATGGGTGAGAGTAGTATGTGGAACTTGAGACGCGGCAGAGTCTAAAGCCATTTGAGCAAAATTCTCATATAAGTCAGAATCACCAAAACCAAAAGGAATAGATGAAACATAAACAAATTTAATTGGATGACATCTATGATTTGAATAAGAGTTTTGAAATAATGAAGAAAAGAATCTGACAGATCCAACCGCATATGTATTGCTACTTCTCGGTATTTGCTTTTGGGTTGTGAAAATTCTCATTTCGGACGGATGATAGGTGTGTACATACATATCTTTGCATGGTTTCGTACTCATTGCCACTTTTGAAAGCGCATCTCTTTTTGGCGTTGGACGAATAGTGGTTACAAATACATATAAAATGCTTATCACAATATATATATTAGTATTGGGCACCTTCGTGAAATGCCTTATGATTATACGGATGCCAACTGTCGACCTTAGCCTGGGGCCCGACGACCGTTCATTGACCTTTACTTGAGTTGGATCGTACTTAGGGATGTCAATAAAACCCGTAGAGTCGGGTTACCCGCATTTTTGGGTTGAGTAAACCCGACATGATTGGGTTTCGGGTCGAGTTAGGGTAGAATTATGCTACCCGAACCTCGGGTAGGATCGGGTGCGGGTATAGTAAGCAAACCCATTACCCGACCCGATTACCCTACCCGTTTACCCGCAACCATTAAATCATATATATATATATATACACACACACATATATATATATATATATATATATATATATATATAATATATATATATATATATCTATATATATATATTTATAATTTATAATAAATATAAAAGTAGTCATGTGTTATTTTTAAAAATTAGACTATCAATTATAATTTTGATTAATGGTTAAATTATTTTAATTTTTATAATTTTATTATCATTTTTTGTTAATTGTACATTAAAAAAATTAAATACTAATTTTTAATGTTACAATATTAAATAGACTATAAAAGATAAATAATCATATCTTATTATTTATTTCAAAAATAATATAATTTTTTTATAGTTTGTTTATTGTCAAAATTAGTTAATAAATTATTTCTTACATTATAATTAATTGTGAAATTATTTTATTATATTTTTTCATATGAAACGAGATGGGTCAGATAAAACCCAAATTTAAGACGTGGATTACCCTTTTACCCGACCAATACCCACTAACCCGTCGGGTAAAACCCAACCCGAACCCGAAGATCACTAGCTGGGTAACGGGTCGGGTTTGGGTAGAGTAAATTATATGTGGGTCGGGTTCGGGTTTGCCAAAACCCGTACCTAACCCGACCCATTTACATCCTTAATCGTACTTGTCACATGACTCAAGGTTCTTATCGAACTCTAAGCCATTGTCAATATCTTAAATAGATTTAAAGATGCGTTGGTCCTCCATGGGCTCTAGGTCACATAGGGTAGTCCTGGAATGTCCTGGTATACCTTCAACGTCAACAAACGATCACCACTAGTAGATTCTACATATAAATATTCCCTTATATATTAATTCAAAACGCCACTACAAGAAATTGTTAAAATAGGGGCGGGAGCGGTCCGGAACGGTCCGAGATTTGACTTGTTAAAAGATTGCCGTTTTTTAATGTTTGTACAGACCAGAAAAAAGGAAAACACAATTTTCATTTGGCGTTGAGTTTCGATTGGAACAAAAATATTGCATTTTTTGAGTTTTGGGTATCAATTGGAGAGGCTCTAAAGTATTATCATGGGACAAGCTTATATCAGTTAATCCCACTAATACCTAAATGTTTATAGGTTTGTAATTTTGGGCAAAACAAATCTTGTGCATGTGACTTGTTCATGTGGCTGGGGCTTTAGACCCAAACGACATTGCGGGAAATGTGGTGCAATGCATTCATAAATAGAAAATTGGTCAAATGGTTTGTAGTCAGATGCCGGAAGGGGACCATGGAATCTTATTTTGTGTGAGTTCATCATATATACAAAGACACATGATTAATTAACTATTAGTACTTGGGAAGTCCGCAAAATGAATCCGTAACCTCCGGAAAAAAATTAGCTCTGAGGGTTGGGCGCGGGTCCCAACCCCGAACTCGCCGGCTCTCGGCAACCCGCTCTAGCTGCTCACGTGGCGAGAGCGGGTCGTCGCGTGCCGGCCGGGGGACGGACTGGGAACGGCTCCCCGGGGGCCTTTTCCGCGCGGTCAACAGTTGACTCAGAACTGGTACGGACAATGGGAATCCGACTATTTAACTAAAAAAAAAATTAACTGGAAGCAAATGGAATTCTTACATGGATCAACCAGATTTAATAGTTGGGGTCCAACAGATATGCTACTAGAATATATTATTACTGGAAGCAAATCTGCGGCTGCAGTCTTTAGATATCATCTGATACACAATTCAATTATCTTCTCCGTGACATTCCTTTATTTTAATGTATATTTTCTGTCCAAAGATTCTAGCAATACAAATTAGGACTGCCGATTTGTTCTTCCAAAATCTTAGTTAGCTCACAAGTAAATCGCATTTTAAAAGTTGATTCGTTTCATGTTCAAACCTGTGAAAACAGGTGGATCCTTCTTGGGATCCTTTGTAGGGTAGGGCCAAAATTCCCGGGAAATGTTCAAACGACTTTTCTTTTCTTCTCGAAATGAAACGTTTAATGCATTATTTGTTGCAGAAATTCTATGACACCACATGTGGCACCATATTATGGTGCCACAACATGATGTGTGATAGTTGTGGCACCAATCATATGTCATATCATGTTGTGGCACCATAATATGGTGCCACATATGGTGCCATAGAATTTCTGTTATTTGTTCTCATACGATTGTTTTGGTGTAACTGTCTATTAGTACGAATTTCGTGCGATGTAACAGAGATATTCAATTAATGTTTATGAATAAAAAATGTTAATTAAATAATTATTATAAATTAAAATTATAGAATAATGTGATTAAATAATTGAAAATGTTATATAAAATTTTAATTTGTGCAAATTATATAAAATATGTCTATTTAAAACTAGTACACAACCAACACGGTGCACGTAACTGATAATAAATTACACTATATTCATTTCAAAATAAGTGTCATTTGGTAATATTTATTCAGAAATTTGATTTTTGTGCATTGTGATTTCATAAAATAATTATTTTAGTAAAATTTTTATCATATATTTATAAATCTACGTCGGTATGTCAAAACCTCCAACGGCTGGAAACGGCTAGCTCGAACCACCGCCTCACCGGTTGAACGCCGTGTACCTACAAAAACTCTCACACCGGAGGGGTTTTCCGCTGAAGAGCCTCCGATCCTTAAGTCAGTCGCAAGCTCTACTCAATTTTCAAGAGTAAAAATGGATAAATCATGCTAAAAACGTAAGGCTCACTCCTATATATAGGGATGATGTACATGCTTCTAGATGCTTTCCAGATGAGCTGAGTTGGCTACCCAAAACTACTGCCCGGACTGCCCGTTCGTACACACACTATGTGCAAGTGTCAGAGACGGTTATTCAGTAAAGACCAATTGGATCGCGCCACGTGTCCCCCGCACACGGGGGTTTGATTCCTCTGAGATCTCCTCGAAGGCTCTAGTGTTCAATCAAGTCTAGGTTAATTTGCGGTCTGCCCCCAATCTGGGAAGTGGTCGATCCATCGAACAGTTGCATTGCAGGTTGATCCTCACTCTCTATACCGATATCACTCTCTATGTCGTCTTCCAAATCCTTACTCTTGTGATGTTTGACCACGACCACCTTCTCGTACTTCCAAATCCATTTTTTTCATTCAATTGTTATTTAAATTGGTATTTATGAATTTCAGATTTAAGTCAGAATATTATTTTGTATTTTAAAATTTATTACCGAGTTGAAAAAGAGCGGATTAAAGAAAAAAAGAGGGCTACAATTTTTAATAAGATCATTAGTATTTTGTTAGAGATAATTAGTATTATATTATACTAGTACAACACCCGTGTATTACACGGGTGCTTGCTAATTTTTTTCTTAAAATTTAAAATTAATGAGAAAAAATAGTTTGAAAATTTAAATACCTTTTATAAGAATATGTATATTATTATATATTTATTATGATACTTTTTATTTGTGCGACTTACTTGTGTTATATTATACTAATTTTTTAACTTACAATATATAACTACATTAAATATAAATATATCAATTGAGAAATAATTTTATTTTTCTAATGAATTTTAATAAATATTATTATTTTTTATTATTATAAAGATAAATATAATTTATTTATTTTATATATATAATATGGATGTCAAATCGAAGATCATCAAAAGATGATTAATTTGATATATTATATATGTAAAACTGATAAGAAATACAAAAGTTATCTACTTTTAAAATACATTTATATTTCAATAGCTTATTGGAGGAAGCAAATCAAAATTTAGGGATATATTAGTCACTTAGTGCCTCATTAAGTAAAATTACAAAGAATTAAAAGGTTATATTAGTAAAAGGGATATTAAAATACCTAAGTTAGCTAAATAATATTTATGGAATACCCGAACCTAGATTATTAATTATTAATATATTAATATTATCTGTCCAAACCTAATTACGAAGCATGATTCTTCGCCAAATAGGATTCCGAAGCACCAGAAGCAGCGACGTAGGCTCAGCGCATTCTGGAATTATATATAGGGAGGATAACATAATAATTTCTAAGTTCTAATAAAATAATAATAAAAATCTATAAATTAATAATTTATATTTTATAATATAATAATTTTTAAATTCTAACTATAAGATAATAAATTCTAATTTATAACATAATATCTAAATTATAATATAATTTATATAATAAATAAAAATTTGATAATAAAAAAAAACAAGATAAACTCGTGTGGCCTAATTATATTACAATACTAATTATGATTTCACTAATAATATATTAATTATAACCAAGGTTCTGAAAACTGGACCGATCACCGAACCGGTCTAGCTACTGGTTCAATAGTTCATTGGTTCGACCAGTGGTTGAAATGGTATTTAATTTTGTATACTTTTCAACATATATATATAATATTTTATATGATAAAATTTCAATATTAAGACAATTTAAAACATTCAAATACTTAAACTAACTAATAGTAACTTATATATATCTATAATATTTAAATATATTTTTTTATTTCACTAAAAAAAAAAGTGGGAAAGTACACCAGTGTATTTTCTTTTATTATGTGAAAACTCATAATGGTTTTCCATATTTCATGTTCATTTAGTTAAATTTAATTATTTATCAATTTAAGATAATAATAAGTTTAATTAATGATAATGTGATATTCATCTTGACATACACAGTGAAAGTGTGTTAAAACAGAGATCATTAAGTCCCACATTGATTTTGAAAGCTAAAAAAAAAAAAGTAGCTATAAAAGGCTAGAGTTTTAGGACAACCCCACATTGATTACAAACACAATAGTAAAGGTCAAAAGTGGGTATAAAAGGTTGGGAGACTGAAAACTTTGATTTTACACATTTAATGAGAAAGTTAAATGAAAGACAAAGAATAACTATGAATACTGTAGCAACTTGCATTAATAATTATTAACCGGTTTCACTAATATTTAATAATAATAAAAAATTATATAAAAAAAGCCTTAGGAGTGGCCGGTCCGGTCTTAGGCCGGCTGGGCGAGAGGCGGCTGCCTTATCCGGCTGGCTGAGCGAGTTGCGACTGGCCGTCGGCGTCCGACAAAAAAATATTTTAAAATTGTAAAGGATAAAATTATCTTTTTAAGAGGCGGTAAATATTAATAAAGGGGGATATAAGTAGTAATAAGGAGGCCATAAGTAGTAATAGGGTGCGGCAAAGCCTATATCGATTTTTAGTACAATAATCAACACACCAAAAATTGGGACGTCAGGGTGCCGAAGGCCTACCTCGATTTTTAGTGTTATATGATGCAAGTTTTCTGTCGGAATTAATAACTACTGTTTATAATATTTGAAAGAAAAGAAAAAAGCCAAAATTAAAAGGCTACGAGCCATATATAACTTTGCCATTGCTACTGTTGTTGCCTTCATCAATCAATAATTTAATACCCACATGCTGTAGGGCATTGAATATACATATATTTCCACCTAATATGAAAAAACAAACCCAAGCAGGACATTAAACTAATAATGGCTCCTGATTAAAAAACAGATCATATATATATGGTACACAATGCTCATAGACCTACCTAAAATAACATATGCTAAGTTCAAGTGACAAGTTGTGCCTTTTTTTTTTTTTTTAATGGAGAATACTAAAAATTATGCATAGATGACCAAATGATTGGCCTAAGTAGACCCAAAAATTTTAAGTCCCTGTATAATTTTTGTCGAGATGAACTCCCACGGGGACTTTGCTGGGTGGGGCTGGCGTAGCTACGCCTCGCACTGGCCTTCGATCATTAGCACCGTGTCATGCACAGTTGTGGCTATCTCATTCACTGTAGTCATCTCGCATTCATCCTCAATCTGCATTTGTTTGTTAACTTAAATTATTGGATAATTTATATGGCCGGACACGTGAAATATATACAATTTTGTGAAGTCAGTTTGATATATTGTGTAGTTTTACTTTGTCATGTCCCTGACATATGCATGAAAAAAAGTAACTATTTGTTACAACACATAATTATTATTCATTTTTAACATTTACCGAATATTGAATTATTCCCGTTTTCTCAAATATGTACGACGACAAGGGCGAAAATGGAAATCGCAATTCGGTACCTTGACGGTGAAGGAGTAGAATATGGAGTGGTCAAGGGTGGTGATGTTAAGGTGGAGAACCGTGAGGCCGATGGACTGGAAGCGAGCTACTAATTTGAGGAGCTGTTTGGGCCGTCTTTTGGTCAATATCTTGATGTTTGCGTGACTCTCCGCCATGGCCACCTCAATGTCCGCGATTCCCAGCCGCCGCTCAGCAGCGATGGCCGGAGATTGGGAATACTGTGGGAAGGTGAAGAAGTCGGAGAATGCGTTGGAGTGTTGGTTGGCCGGGTTATTGACTTCCAGAAATTGAAGAAGTTGCTCGAGTTCCTTCACAAAATTTATGGCGCCCCCAACGATTGATGCTTGATCTCCCTATATATGTGTATGTTCATGTTAAATACGATAGATTTATTTATTACGATTTAACTGCAAAATATAAGTCAATATGTTGTATACGTTGTGACAATAATAGCAACCATCTTTACGAATTGACAATAGTAGCCAACAACTTTTAAAATTTCAAGGTTATTACCCAAGTATGACCGAATTCGATCGACGACTATTATTGTCACTGCGTCAAATTTGACCAGATTTGAGTAATAAACCCAAAATTTTAAGTATTGTTGATTACTATTGCAAATTCGTAAAGGTGGTGACTATTATTATCACCACATACAAAATACTCGCTAGATCTTGCAATTTAACCATTTTTTAATCAATGAAATAGCTTGAGATATTACTTACCTTTATAGGTAATTTGTAAATGCACAATATGTTTTGTTTACAACAACCAAAATTTAACTAATTACCAGATGATGTACATGCATGCAACCCCACCCCCACCAACCCAATTTTTTCCCCTAACCCATCTAAGTTTTGTTTGTCTAGTGTCTTATTATGTGACCCAATCAAAGATAATAACAAATACATTATATATGTGAAAATTGAATTTTTTTTTTCTCTGTCTAACTATACTTCCATTATTCACGTTTGGCCCCGTCGGTAAAGTTAGTACACTAAGCGACGCACGAATAGTTCCCAATCATGGACTCAAATTTCAAATATGGCAACCCGAACATATACAATACATACATAAAATACATACATACATACCCTTTGAGCATAGGATGGGGGCATAAGGGAGCGGAGGATGGCGAGATATTCATTCATCTGCCTCCTCCGATTCCTCTCGACCGCTATGTGTGTCATCCTTTGGGTCTCCATTTCCTCCTGGTTCTTCATCACCTTCGTCTTTGTCCTCCTCCTCTTGTTCCTCGCGCGCAAGTTAACATTTACCACTTCTTCATTCCTATGCGGTTCTTGCGGAGCCTCTAATTCTCCATAACCGCCGTATTCCCCGTAGCAATAGGCAAACGGGTCTTGCTGGAAAATTACCGTCTCTAGAGCCATTCTTTTTTTTTTTTTTTTTTTACAGGTTTTTTGGAATGGAATTAATGTAGGTGTAGAGGGTTTGATCAAGTCTCCATTTAAATGGCTTATAAATAGAATAGAAAATAACCAAGTTGCAGCTACCCAATTATGTACGTATATCATCAAGTATATTAGCTACAGAGAAGACTCACACGTGATTCGGTTAGATTAGATTCTATACATGTATATATATGTATATTTTTTTTTTGGTAGCCAGCCACGGTAACTGGAGCTATGCCCCAACTAATATCTGGAGCTATGCCCCAACTAATCCGTTGGTCAACCCGAGTCGCACACCTGGCAGTGGTGGGTGAGTCTCCCAACAAGAGTTTTCTGCATCCACAAGTACTCGAACTCGGGACCTTCCTTAAGCGACATCAAACTGCTTACCACTTGAGTCAACTCCTTTGATTGTATATGTATATTTTTTTTTTTTGGGTACAGGGACTTTCCGGTTTCCGTATCCACAGGGGAACCGACTAATCCGAAATCTAGCCGGGTAGGACCACAAGGGCGGCAAAGCGATTGACAAAAGTGTTGATAAACGGTGGAACAAGTAAGCGTGTGAACCGGCAGCATGCTCCCGCGCTTAACTTATTAAATTAAAGATGTTATTTTCTTATACATCACTAATTTTTCGGGCAATTGGATATATCTCATATATATGTACCAATGAAAATGACTCAAATAAATGAATTTAATAGCGGTGGTTTTTTTTTTTTTCGACAAATGAATTTAATTAGTCCAATTGACATTTTGATTGTTTTACCAATTTTTTAATTGTCACACAAAATTGTATTAGTTGCTATTCTGTTTGATACGTACCCCGACCACGTAGACAATTTTTGTCTATAAAGTATGTTAATGCTGATGATGTCAATAAAATAAATTTTATTTGATACGATATCTGGAATTTAGTTGTTTTATTAATTCATTATAAAGTGGCCATCGTTTTTCATGGAGATTTTCACGCAGGATTGGTATCTTGATGGGGGCATAGCTTACGGCGGCTCCTTTGATTCCCGACAACAAAATTGGACTCAGCCTCAAACAATGCAAAAACATTAGTATTGATATGGGTTACCATACCAACATGTTAGGTCGTATGTGACGGAGGAATAGTTCGACTAGCTGTTCGAGTTAATCTTCACGTTGGTCAAACAACAAGGAGATGAGAGGTCGTGAAAAAACAAGGTCAATGATGACTCCATAGGTGAAGCACACCGACAATAGGTTGAGAAAGGACTCTAGGATAGCTTGGTGGAATCTCGAACTAGAAGCCAACAAGTCAAGTTAGGACCTAAAGGCAGTCTTACTCATCGTAGGACAACGCGACCTATTTTGAGGGATACTGAGCTAATAGCACAATTGTGGTGCCTAATGAGAATATAATTAGGATAAGGACACGTGGATAAGACTACGTGGATTAACAGAATTGAACAGTTTGGACATTCGGGCAATAAGCTCGGGCATTCCGGCAACAGTTGGAGAGTATGGTAACAAGGTAGCACCTCTATATAAATGAGTGAGATATTATCATCACAACTATATACACTTAAAATACTCTAGACTCATATATATAAAGCTATATATTGTTCATCATTACCTTCATCCCTGTTTACTAGCTTAAGCATCAAAGCTTCAACGTCTAGACCACCCCAGGTGTTATTTTACAAGTCATTTGACGGCTCGTGAACGGATCAAATGATGTTTAGCTGGATCAAGGTTGTTTGTACTACCACTGGCTCGTGAACGAATCAAATGATGTTTACCTGGATCAAGGTTGTTTGTACTACCACTTAATGACGTATGTGGGAACTTTCATTCAAAAAAGCCATAAATCACTACTTGCCATGGTGAATGAAGATCCAAAAAGGAACCTAGAGCCCAGTTTTGGCGACGCTTGGGTCTTCAATCGTCCGATAGTAGCAGGCCTACCACCAGGCATATCGAGATCTATCATGACGTCGATCACCCCGATTGTCAACCCCTTGAGTTTCAGGGGCTCGTGGGCGTTTTCAACAGCGATTGGAGGTTTCAGGAATGGAGGTCGTTCCAGCACCCCTTGTGACGTAGACAGAAGCGTACGATGGGAAAATAGAGTAAAACTCAAGAGATAATTTTATTATTCATAAACGTTCATCGGCAATGTTGGGAGATATCCCAATAAATAGATCCCTAATCCAACTCCTTGACTTGCTAGGCAAGACATTATTTTCTTAATAAATATTCTCCTAATAAATAAAAGCAGTAAATGAAAGGAAATAAAATAAATAACTTCTAAACTCGCAGACGATCATATTTTGCCAAATATTTTAACGCGATCTCGTCGCCATCACCTTGTCCGAGCAAGATTTCCAGCATCTTGGCCATGGAAGCTTATCGCGATCAAGCGGTGAAAAATATGGCAGCTTAGATATGAGAGCTACAAGCCAAAGTGGAGGGAAAATGAGTTGTGATAGCTCGAGGGCACCCTTTTGCCTAGAAGATTGTGAACGCTGATCTACCTAGTGGATTCAAAGAGCTCAATGTTATTTATGGTAGGTCTAGTGACCCGTCTCGTCACTAAAGGTGATGATTTTGCATGGTTATACCGGCACAGTAAGGGGCAAAGCCTTTATGGAGCTGGAGGAGCTCAGGACTGGTTTTGTCAACTCACCTCAAGGTCTATCAAAGATTTTAATGACTTTGCAAGTATCTTTATGAATCAATTCGCTAGAACTAGGTCGCAAGAGAAGACGTACCTTACCCAGATGGTGATGTCGCAGCAGCAAATTGAGACCCTTAAGAGCCATGTAGCTCGCTGTACCCGAGCTTGTGTAGATTTACGTTCAGCTTCTGAGGAGGTCAAGGCTGGAGGGCTAACAAGGGGGTTACAAACAGCTCCTTTCCAGATCTCGCCAGCTAAGAAAATTGCATTGATGCACGATGTTGTCTTGTATCGTTGTGCTAAGTACATCAATATGGAGGAAGCATAGACTGTGTTCGCTAAAATTGAAAAAGTGACTCGACCTGAGGTGTAGAGAGAGCGAGAGATAAAGAGAGAAAGAGAGAGAGTGAGAGAGAGAGAGAGAGAAAGAGAGAGAGAGAGAGAGAGAGAGAGAGAGAGAGAGAGAGAGAGAGAGAGAGAGAGAGAAGATTCATCTTGGAAAGATAGGTTTGAAGGAAATCAAAAGGACAGTGGAGAGGTCATCATTTGCGAGATGGCCACATGTACAAAAACTACACTCTATTTAGGCCGACTCCGGCAGAGGTGTTGAAAATGATGGAGAAGAGGTTAGATGGAGATATGGTTACATGGCCCTAAATCGAGTAAAGAAGGCCCTACATGGTCAAAATTCGACATGTATTATCGTTTTCATCGGGATTATGGTCACAACACGAATAATTGTAGACATTTAAAAGATAAGATGGGGAGGTTGATGAAAACAAGTCATCTAAAAGAATTTGTGTATAAAAATAAAAAAAAAAGAATGGATTGGAGAAGAGATAATCGAGGGAAAAGACCTCGAGGCCATGAGACAGAGGCAGGAAGCACCTTTAAACAGGGGAGTTATTCACATGATTTATGGAGGACCTACGGATGGAGACTCTAATAGTGCGAGGTAGAAACACGCTCGAGCTGCCAAACAGAAAAGAAAGGAGGTTGTTTTGTAGTTTTTACCCGGGTACGGAATAAATCCCGACTTCGGATCGTGTCACTCGAGGAATGTTGTTCGGCAAAGAATTAAAAACAACGATTGCCTAACACAAGAAAAGAAAATAAAGGTCTTAAATAATGTAATTGCAATTTGGTGGTTGAATTAAGCTAAAGGTTGCAACTATAGGCTAGAATGAAATCACGATTCAAACTTTAACACAAGCAAGACCTTAATATTCAAGAAAAAGGAAAATAGAAAGAAAAATAACTAAGCATCCTAAGACCCGAGATGGAAAGTAGACACTCATACGCTTGGGAAAATGTAACCAACCAATTGTCACTTTCGAATCAATCAATCTAACACTTAGTCAATTCTTGCTCACGCAATCAACAACGAAATTACATAATCCCTAGCCTACAAGGATGAATGCATATTCTACTCATGAAAGCTCATACCTTTGCTTTAGAAAAATCTATTAAGTAAAGACAAGAAAAAATTACGAGATCTTGGACCTTAAATTAATACTCCAAGTCTCTAGTAGCATACACGTGAGAAATAAGATGGACAGTTGCAATATTGACGCAATCTTGACGAAAAATTATTACAATAAAAATTGGGTCTTGGAGCCCTTAGAGAGAAAAAAGAATAGAGAGAGAAAAAAACTAAAAAGAAAAATCTTGCAATGAGAAATTCTTCCCAAAATACAAATCACTAAGTCTACTTATAGCCACACCACAAAAACACACTAAAACACACACATTTAATAGGCTACACTTGCCCAAATCAGCTATATGGCCAAAATCTCGCCCAGGCTCGCTGGGTGATTCTTCACGTCAGACGGGTTTCGAGCGAGTCTGCAGGTTTGCGCGACTAGTTCCTCATGCCAGAAAAGTCTCGCACGTGTATCTAACCCAGAAAGGTGTTGGGCGAGTGCTAGGCAGCTCGCTAAGCGGATGTGCGGGACTTCTCGGGCGCGGTTGCTCCTTGGGTACTCAAGCGAGCTGGCGGGCGCACGGGCAAGGTGCTGACAGGTGCGCAGGCTAGCGCGTACTTGTGCTCGTTTCTCCTCAGGTCAACCTAGGGGCGCACTGTTCTCTCGTGCACGGGCAGTCTCGGTTGTTGGTATATATCCTGAAAGCTTGACTTTAGATGTATTTACATTGAATCCGTTTGAATGAGAATCATGTTTAATTAAACAAGTCTTTGTTCTGTTGTTTTGCACTTAGATAGAATGGGTCGTCATCGGGTAAACAGAAGATCATTCTATCAGTTACTTGCGAACAAGAATTGTGGTTCACAACCTAGATGGAAATGAACACCCCATCCGAATGGTTGTAG